AATCTTCATGCAAAAGAAAATTGGAAAACAACCAAAATAGTTCTGAAACACGTGTACTAAACCCTCTTCATAGGAAAACAAATTAAGGAAATTTTTTTTTTGGACGGGAAGTTGAGAGAACCGCTCTTAGCGAGAGTGGCACTTGAAAAGCCATCTGCTACATTAATACGCGTGTATGAGCCCTTTCTTATATTTTGAATTACCTGTACTTGTAGTTTTGGTATCACCCGGTCTTCCTCTCGCCCGGACGTACCTGACCCTACTGGTGTTAAAACCGAGCATTCATGTCATTATCGCGAGACAACAAAGGAGTCATTCTTGTTTCGTGCAGAGCCCATGACAAGGCACCGTACTGATCATTTACCCCTCCAAAGGAAAAAAGCGCCATAGGAAAATTCTCCTGAAATTTCTTATATCGCTACACTTTTAATAACTGATATGGACACAAACATTTACGCTCGAATAGGGGAAGGGATGGAAACTCGGTCCAGGCCTAATACTCTCACGTCCAAAATGGCGGGCCCTATTGGCATCATCTCAAGTCTAGTGTGGAATATTTCATTTCAACAGCAACAATAATTTTTTGTCATCCAGCTCTTCTGACTATGGATTCCCTCTTTGTCGTATGGTTCTATTTATTCAGTTCTAAAGTACTTAAGATCTCTGGTGGATCACAAGTCACCTGGACGGTGCTCACTGCTGCACGTAAGCTTATGTATGCATGGTGATGCTCGCGTAGTGATGGGTATTTGCGAGAGCTATTCAGCCTATTCAAAGGTCAGACGTGAATCATCTTTCAACGATTGTTTTGTTCTTAGCTTAATGGTTAAGGCCGGGTTAAGGTCACTTTATTTTCAAGTAAAAAAAGGCCTGACAAAATAGAGACTTTAATTTGCATGCTTGGAGTATGATACGTATGGAAATATGGCCTAACAAACATATTCAGAAAATTCAAGCACCTTTAAAAAATATTGTCATTTCTAGGTCAGAACATTATCATTTGTGCTCTATGATGGGTACAACCTTAAGGTTTTTATTTATTACTTTATTTTAATTTTATTTTGCTAAACCGCTGGGTGTTTGTAGTGCTAATCAGAGGCCTTATTAGTGCATTTGTAAGCTATGAGTCGAGGTATTTCTAGAAAATGACACTGATTTGGCTTTGATGTGTCATTTTCACTCACTTAATACAAAATAAAGGCCTTATGTCAATAATCTGGTCTGTTTATTGCATGAATTATGCTTAAAACTCCAATTTGCTTAGCCTAAGAGGGACATGGAGAGTTTGTGCCAAAAACCTAACAAACCTCAGTAAGCCAAATTTTTCTCAACTGATTTTGATAAATGGGTCACTAAAGTACATACTGGATTTGGTATGAAAGTTATTTAAGAAGGCAGGTGAGTGTTATGGTTTTTTGAAAAATGGAAATTTTGGGTAATTATTTTGACTTCAAATTTGACCTAACTTTTGCCCCAGGCCCCTCTCTGTCTAATCACTTGAGAACAAAGTTGTATTTATGAAGTAAAAGGTCCACTATAGAGTAGAGTCCACGGTCAAATTTTTTTGACAGCACAGTTTACCAATGGAGTTTTATGGCACTTTCAAAATGCCAACTAGAAGGATGAATTTTTGGTGCTCCACAGGCCACAAATGGGACCCCTCCTGAAACTCCAGAACAAACAGTCAGAGAAGTGAGCCAAAGTGGAAGTGAGCCAACGTATATCTGTTCGTGGATGTTCTTCCGAGAGGTTTAATCTGGACTGTGGTGTACCGCAAGGCTCCTGCCTCGGAGCTTTGCTGTTCTCAATCTACACCAGTTCTCTGCTGAGTATTGTCCAAGACCTCTTGCCTACAGTCCACTGCTACGCGTATGACAATCAGCTCTATGTATCTTTCCGCCCAGCAGATGGGAATGGTCAGTCTGATGCTACCGCTGCTATGGAGAGTTGTGTTAGAGTGATAAGGAACTGGATGCACGAAAATCGACTCTTGATGAATGAGACTAAAACTGAGTTTCTGTTGATTAGAACGAAGCAGCAGCTTGCTAAAGTCAATGTAGATCATATGAAAGTCGGTAATGCAGATATAGTCCCGCACTCACCAGTCGAAAATCTCGGAGTGTGGTTAGATTCGAATCAGTCTGTGGTAGAGCGTATTACTATGGCTAGTTCCGCGGCGTTTTTTCATTTATATAACATTCGTAGACTATTAGAAAATATCTTTCCAGGGAAAACACGGAAACCCTGATTCATGCTTTTGTATCTAGCAGAATTATTGTAACAGTCTACTGTATGGAGTGCCTA